CGCGTAAGATCTATGGCACAGGAAAACCCAACGGTCGTACTCCTGGGTGGGGGGATTGGGGGGGGACGTGCATTTGGGGATATTTTGGGGTTGAGACAACCAAACAAAAAATGGCCACAAAAATACAGGTGTACAAGAAAGCAGAGAGATAGCGGAGGGGAGGAGGACACCAACGCAGCTGGACCAGCCTCTTCCCTTGGCTGCTAAATGGAAAGTGCTCTGACTTTATCCCAACACCAAGGCTGCTCCTGAGGTTCAGGATGCGACCCCGGGGGCACCAGCTGTCCATGAAGCTACCATGGGTTTACGGCTCATCACCCCAACCCTGCTGCAGGCAGCGTGTCCCCCAAAGACGGAGAAGAAGAGAAAAGCAAAGCGGAGCCAGCGAGCTAAACGCGTAGTAGGTAAAACCTGCCTATTATCAGGGGACAGTGATCCTTCCGATGACGCCATGTGATAGGGGGATGGTGAGAACCTGTTATCAGGTCGGAACTCTTTATCATATGCCATCATGTTCCACTCCAGGCGCCGGTTGCGGGCTTTCCTCACTTTCTTCACCTCCCGGGTGGAGTCCTCCACCAGCCGCTGCTCCTGGGGACACACACAGGCTGCGGCTCCCTCTCCATCCCGGCTCCTCTGGACCATGAGTGGTACCGAGGAAGCATCGCCCAGCCCCACGAGGCGCACCCACCGCAATGAGGGGGGGAGCACCCGATGTCCCCCACCTGCCCGTTACCTTCTGCCTGCGCTTCTCCTTTCTCTTATCTTCTGTCGCCTGCAACATTTTCTCTTTCCATAAGTTGAAGAAGTAGGAGGGGTCGGTGTAGAACTTGAGGCCATCCTTTTTGTCATCCCTGGGGGGTTCAGGAAGGAGGAGAGGGGGTTATCAGCCACAGGAGAAGACCCTCCTTCCCCTGCACAGGGAGTTTGATACGATCACGGCTATAAGCTGTTGCCCACCCATGAACATGTCCAACACAGCAGTTACTACCCATAGTACCACTGCGTGGAGTCACTCATCCCAAGCCCCCTACGCAATGGGGGTGGTGGCACAGCAATCGGAGCAAACAGCCTCTCCCCTTGTCAAGCAGGAAATGGGGTACACCCTCCTGTGCCCCTCCTGGAAAGGGTCCCCCGGGACCCCCTCCATCCCCCCAGTACCTGTAGGGCGTGAGGATGTTGAGCGGCGGGGGCTTGTCGCAGCGCTGGTACATCTCCATCACCGGGTTGGGGATGGAGTTGCGAGACACAACCTGCTGGTTCTGCACCGTGGAGCTCTTGAAGGCTTTCCGCATGTTGATGTCTTGCAGCGAAACTGGGGGCGTGAGAAGAAGATGGGATGTAGGGGTGACCCGAGCACATGTCTCCCACCCGCTTGCACCCAGCCGTCACCCCAAAACAGCCCCAGCCCCTCACCTTCCTCCACGGTGGAGTCCAGCTGCGTCACCTTGATGACCAGCAGGTCCACCCTCTCCTGCAGCGAGTTCATCCGCATGTAGAAACTGTTGGCTTCATTGAACAGCTCGCCAAAGATGTCCTCCGCGTGCCTGCCTGGCAGAGGGCAACGCGCACCCGTCACGGGCAGCAACGGCAGG